CCGCCGGCACCCGGCTCCCGGGCTGTGCTCGCCGACCCCGCGCCGTCTCTGCCCGGCGGAGCGGGGGTTCGCAGGGGCGCTCGGAGGGAGGAGCCTGCGCGGAAGAGTTGGGCTCCGATTCCGACTATCCCCGGCTAGAGGCTCCCTCCCCTTCCTTCCTCCGCAAGCTTCTCTGTCCTCCAGAGTCGGTGTTCTCGATCGATTTGAATTCTGTCCTCACTCCAGAGGGCTCGCCTGGGCTGCTCTCTGCGCACGATCCCACGCAGTTTCTGGAACCCCGGAAGACTAGTTCTGTTGAAAACAAGGACCTGGAACTGGGTGGAATGGGGTGGAACCTGAGTGAAAGTTGAATCCACACACAGGAAAAGTGGAGGATAGGGGTTTGTAGAGCGCCGGGGGCCCCCATTCCCCTCCCGAGAAGAGGGCACTCTAAGCTGGACTCCTGTAGGAGGGGACAGTGTCTGGGGCCGAGGGTAGTGAGGGACCAGGAGGGCGAGCAGACTCCCTGGGCATCCCCTTCTCCCTCAATTACTGGGCCTGGAGGTCTGGGAGAGTTAGCATCTAGGTGATGAAGGAGGTGTCTGGGGGCGGGGGGGTCTGCAGGCAGCTCGGCTGGGCAGGCAGGAGTGACTCAACTTTAGCTTCTTAGTGGGCCTACGTCAAGCCCTTTCTCAGGCACCTGGAAGCCACCAGGCTGGCGCAAGAGTAAGGATGATAGCCCTGGTCCCACATTCCTCCACCTGACTGCCTAGAGACTCTCTGGCTGGGAAAAGGAGGTTGTGGGGTTCAAAGGGACACCTAGCACCTTTTGGTGTTTTAGAAAAACTGGTCCCCAAGTTCCCCGCATGGCCCCCACCAGAGGAGAATGTAGCTGAGACCCATTCATTTGGCTGAATCTATAGATTCAGAAAGATAAGACTATGAAGCAGCCCGGGAGGTGTCTGGATTGGTTAAGACTACCCTCCTTTTCTTCCATAACATCCTTCCCTTGAGAGATAATTGCTTCCTATTGGCCCAGGGGAGGGTGACCTAGAGTCCTTGAGCTAGGTGGAGAAAGGTGCTGGAGGTGTCCCAGGGAAACGCGGTTTCCACTCCTAGGGCATGCCCCAGAGTGGAGGGTACTGCTTGGTGGAAGGTGTACATCCACATCTGGGTGCCTCTCAGCCTAGGTTGAGACAGGGGCCAGACCCGGTCCTGGCTCCAGTGGCTCTCTCTGATGTGGGCACAGGCTAGCCTGTTTCCAAACTGTTAGAGCAGTGGCGGGTAGGAGCCCTTTGGCACCTGGCTGCAACTGCCCAAGGGTGCTGATTCAGCAGGTGGGGCTGAGGCCCTCCTTGAAAATGCTTCTTCTTTTCCCAGCTGCTGGACCTGGAAGTTGGAGGAGGAGCTGCCCTCATTTTAGGGATAAAAGATAGTTTGTACTGGCCTCTGGCAGTTAGATGGAGAAGGAAAGGGAAATCTCGTTTCAGGGTGTCTTGGTTTATCTGTTGGCTGATTTTCTTGATGGAAAGAAGCAATTTAGAGGAAGGAGTCACAAATCTGCTGTCTGATTTTGATGGTCTGGCATAAGGGGAGTGTTGGAAATATGTGAGGTTGAACTCAAAATGGGAATTTTTGTAGGTCACAGAGGGTCAAAATTAGGCACTTCCATATCATTTAAAGGGACATGGTGAGGTCGAATCTGTTGGAAGCATATACATGCAGTCTTTGCTCCCGGTCCCCCTTGGTTCTCCTGGTTCTCTCAGTGCACCATCCAGGAGCTGCCTGAAGAAAGGGTGCCCAGAAAATCAGTGTTGAGTCCTCGCATAGCTGTTAATGTTTATTTTCCACCCTGGCTTGTGTGGGTTGGGAGATCTAGGGATGAAGCCTGCCTCTGCTGTGCCAGTCACTTACCACTCCCTACCCAGCACTGCTTTGCTTCCTTCAGAAAAGCTGTATCTGCTGTCCTGTGGCTGTTTCTTCAGAATTCTCCTGCCCTTTCTTAGTACTTTCAATATACTTTGTATCAGTCCATAACTGATGTTATTAAATTCAATGTCACTTTAGTGACTCTGCATGTATCCTTTTTCTTTTACTCCTTGTGAGGGCTGTTTATTTTGATGCATACAGATCTATGTCATTCGATCATCTTGTGAGGTGGTTTCTGCTTTTCCACTATTGCTTGCTGCTGCAGTCAATGTCCTTGATCTCAGAATCTTGCAAGAGTTTCTCTAGGGCAGAAGCAAGAGAAGTAAGCCTGTGAGTCTTCCATTTGGGTCAATATTGACAGTGTTCTCCAGTGTGGTTTTATCACTTCAGGCTCCCAGCTGAGTGGAGTGTTCCCATTCTTGATATTTACAAATACTATATATTACCAGACTTTAATTCTGCCCATCTGATGGGTTTGAAATGGCACCCCTGTTTTCAATTTTCATGACTAGAAATTATATTTAATTCTTTCCCTCTGGAAAGTGCTCATTAGTGAAGTGTTTCTATTTTCGTTGTTGGTCAGTGTGTTTGGGGGTTTTAATGTTTTGTGTATGTGTGTATGTGTAAACAGCTAGAATTTACTAAGCACTCTTCACATCTTAACTTAGGTACCTGGACTTGTCTGCAATTAGACCATGTAACTTTCAAACTTCAGGAGGCATCTGAGATCTTGGTGCTGACAGAAAAGATGAGAAATCTTGAGGCACCTGCAAGTGTGCCACATGGTAGGGGTCACTTAGATTGTTAGGGTGGAATTTCACCTAGAATGTGATCCTCTGGTGGTTATCTATCCCCACTCAGGTAAACCTATTCAGGGCTTGCTCTCGGTCTTTTTTCAAACCTCAGTTTCCCTCACCTGTAAAAACAGAAGCCTGATTCAAGACCAAGGATCCTTTCTCACTGTTCATGTTTTATGAGTGCCGGCTGCTGGAAAGGGCCCATGGCTTACAGTCTTGGCTGTGTTATCTGTCCTTACCAGGCCAGTAACTCCTTTGGTCTGGTCATTGATAATCTAGCACAACCAGAATGCAAGAGTAGAGGATGGGACTGATGTGGCCAAGCAGTAACTGACCCAGCAGAAGGCACTAGTGGGGAGCTTCTAGGTATTCTGCCCTGTGAGACCCAGTGGGGCTAGACTGCTCCATGACCCTCTGACCTGCTGACCTGGACTTGGGCAGGATGTGCCCATACAGAGACAGTCATTCAGCTTCCTGCTGCAAGTCGGGAGAGGGTTCTGCCTTACAAGGGTTTGAGGCTGCTGTCAAACCACATCAGAGCCCTGGGAGCCATCTGCCGCCCATTGTCAGTCCACCAAGCCCTCGTGATGTTGGGACATGCTGTGTTTTGGCAGTCAAGATAGCGGATAAATCAACATTTAAGGCCTCATCTTTTCTAGTATAGTGACCATGTTTTTCCATCCAACTTGGGATACTTTTGGAAATAAAAGTCATGACTCTGGGAGAGCAAATATTAACCATCCCATGCACAGGGAGTTGTATACCCCCTCACCCCCCCAAACATCAAGGGAGTTCCCCCTGATGCTCCACGCCTGGTGCGCGGGGACACTTTGAGAAAGAGCACATCTTTCCATTTTCCATCAGCGAGTGTCTGTTCCTGGGGCCCCAAGGGAGGCCAGCAGGCCCAGGGCCTTTCTGTTTCTTGCTTGTGTCTCTGCTGGTGCTTCAGCAGGCCCCAGTCCTGAGCCAGCGGAGACGTGGATGCTCATCTGCCATCGAATTAGGGATTGTTGTGTTCCAATAAGCTGGAGAGCCACAGAACACTAATCTGATTTAATTCCCCAAGGATCTCTCTAAAAGCTTTTATAGAAGAGGCCCAAGGTCCTTCAGCAAATGGGCAATATGCTCATTTTAGGGAAGGAGACATGGGAAATGGATTGCTCTTGTCAGCGCCCCAGAGCTAGTGAGCAGAAGCATCCAGAACCTTCTAAAATGTTGACTTGCCCAGTCAAATTGTCTTGTTTTCCACGAACAGTGAAATAAAACAATTTGAACTGTGGGGCTGAGACTCCTCCCTGGAGTCCATAGTTTTAAGCCCGCGGTAGTCCCTGCTCTATTGGCGGGAGGTGGGTTTGCAGTGGCTCATCTCAAGCAATGTTCCCCTCGTGGGTGATGTACTAGATGTTTTCCAGGTATGCAGGAGAGTAGCTTGAGCAGGCTGGCCCTGCGGGTCCTGGTTTTGGATAGATGACCGGCAGGTGACCAGTGGGCAGTGGAGGAAGTACCTGTGAAAGGCCTAAGGGGTTCAGGTGGATGAGGTGGCTTTCTGGCTGCTTCTTCTGGTCCCCTTGGAGCCTCCCAGGCTGCTCAGCAGCTCTGCTGGTTGCCAACCACCTGCCTGTGTGGGTACTTTTTCTGGGTCACACTGCAGTCACTTAGGGACCATCAGCTACAGGGAGCCCAGCTCCAGGAGATGGACAGACAGCTGATACCTGTACACCTTCACAGCATTAAGGAGACAGATGAGGCAAAGGGCTGGGACCCCTGTTTTTTGTGGTTGTTAGTCTTAATTTAAACATTATAAACTAAGAAGCTAATAGATAGTTTTCCATTAGGAGCAGAGTTAGAAAATGTGAACAGACTTCAAAAGAGAAAAGTTCTTGGAACCAG